AAACAGATGCTCCTTGTTTTGTCTCTGCTTTCATCAAAGGGTTTTATGCTCAGTTAGCTGTTAGTCTAAAGAGACTTGTTTTCAACAATCCTTGCTTCTCAGGCTTAATTTTTTAAATTAATTTGCAGGTCTCATCTTTCATATTGTACTTGGGAAACTTAGTGAGAATGTAAATGTCTAAAAATAAATAAATATTAGGAAAACTGGTATACAAACTTATGGAACTTCACAATTCAGCAATTTTAAAAGGCACTTCATAACATATAATTTTGTTTCCTGTGTCCTAAATATATCCCTGAGGGAGGGGTGACATTTTTGTACTAACACCTGTACAGTGATCTAGCCTATATATCCTAATTAAAAACAACAGTCAATAATAATACTCTTCATGTAACAATGCCTCTGTAATTTAAGCACATATATTCTTCAGAGGTATGGCTAAGAACAAACATGAATATCAGAGGTGAAATTGTTGTATAATGTAAATTTGGCCATATTCAAGTCTCTTTCAGCAAACCTGGCGAGGCAGATCAACCACAGACATATGCTGTAGCAACTAATTTAATCAATTTACTTACATTCGATGAAGTTCTAAACGACAGTTGTTTTGTCCCCTCTGCTAGAAAAATCGTGTCAAAACTTCAGATTCAGGAACTTATTTGGGGGGTTGTGGGTTTATAACTGAGCTGGTGACTGTATGTAATAACAGGCAAAGAATTGCAGGTGTTATTTTTATGTAGTGATTGATAGCTTGGTTGCTGTTCAGGTGACCTGATTTTGAGAGCCCTTGAGTTGGAAACTGGACTTGTGATGTTCTTTACCAAAATTCAGGCTGCGATATAAGGAAGTACTTCTTGCAAAGCAAAAAAAAAAAATTTTAAAGGAATAACATGCTTACTAACATTATGTTGTTATTAACTTTGGCAACTCTCAAACACTGGCCTAATATAAAAATGATTCAGAGTCAAGTCCATTGCTTTTGACCTTGTAATAAATAAAAGCTTTCCAAAAACCAAGCTAGACTAAAATATGAAATCCTGGCTCCAAAAGAGAAACACAACTCATAACAAAACCATTCTATAAGCACAAATGTCCCTGAAATCCTTGGCTGAAGATGTACAACATGAACAATTCTCTGGCTCATGACTATGGAAAAAGCTGCTCTTCATTTAAATGTTTGTCATCAATGTAAAACTATCTTTAATTATAATTAATGGAAGGGGCTTTTATGTGCTGAATAGTAATATGTTGCCAAGAGTTCAGCTTGGCACACATTCCTGAATTACAGTGGAGATTGATCTCAAAATGGAACAAAGAATAATGTGTAAAGCTGTCAAAGATACAATTAACTGAAGACAATACAGTAGCTCTAACTTAAAGTATAGACAGACAGGAAGTATTCTATGAGTGACTTTTAGGAAGTCATTTTTTTTTCCCCTCTTCTAGCTCCTGATTTGTTTTTTCTAACTTTGGACAAAAGTCTTGTTTAGATTTCTAATCAGTGCCATTTAATTTGTCAGGAACTGAACCTCTGAAACATTTGCCTCAATCTTATCTTAACCAGCTTACAGTGGTGCATTTGTACTTGCCAGGTTGCTTGACCAGATGCTAAAAGACACTGGCCAGCATTATAGTATGCCCTTAGAATTAAAATGCAGCTTCCTTTGAGGTTCAGGCCAAAACTTGAAAATGTAGCCTTTGCCTATGTCTAATATCTGAGCTATTTAGAGTCTCAGATCCTGACAGTTGTGCAGGGGAACTGGGTACATCTAGGCAGGGTTGTAACTGCACTCTTGTTATCCATGTCAGCTAGTACAGAAATGTAATCATGTCAGTCTTGATTTTGTGTTTTTATATATTTCATGAAGCAGCACAATTTATCTCACCAAACTTTATCTGTCTAAAGAGTGGGCAATTTACTTCATGGCATTCCTTTAACCCTTTTATTCATTCCAATTTTCATGGATTTCTACTGAAGACAGTACGAATCAGCTGCTTGTCTTTACTCTTGGTATGAGGGAGGCACAAAGCATACAATAAGCCCCAAACCATTCTGCTTCAAGGAATTATTTTCATTTAAACAAATCCATCACATAAAGCTAAAAGAAAATACAGCACCTTTCTTTATTATCCTTTGGGCACCAGAATACTCAGCAGAAGTATAAATTGCCTATAAATTCTCTTCTCACTGCATTTGTAGAGACTGAACAAACCAGAGCTTCACAGAACAGTCACTAAAATGACCCCCAATACAGACAGTCTGATCTGTTTTCTAGTTAAAAACCTGTTGAGCTCCATTTGAAATGGTAGCTTCCTACCAATTGCGAAAAATAAGGGTTAGATCTTAGAAAATACAAAAGTTGCTCTTGAATAAAACAAATTTCCCAAGGTCACTTGCAGTCAGTAGCTGCCTTGAGAACAGAAATTTGATACCATCTTCCTTTTTCACTCAGGCATTTAACACTAAATGAACAAGCCTTTAAAAAATACAGCAGGAAACAAAAATGTCATTGATAATAATCTTGCCAAGTGTTTTTATAAATATGAATAAATAAGAATACATGTAACTAAGTACAAATAAACATAAGGTTTATAGGCTTTTCATATAAATTTATAACATATATTTCCCAGGAGATTTGCAGGGTCACTTTTAAAACATTACAGAAGATGTAGAATAAAACTTACAGTGCAAATCACTTGACTTAAAACTTTACTATAAATTGACGTGTGCATCTTGAAAGCTTTCACTAGTCCCTAGTATGTGTTCAGCAGCTCGCAAGCACACTCAGCAAGACTAGAGTAACACAAGCTCTATAAGCGTTTGTGTGTTTATAAATGTGATTTCAAAAGGGGTTCTAGTTTTTTAATGAGATAAACTCAAAAAAATCCCCAATGCACGAGAACTTACTTGAATGAATAAAGCATTTCTGGAATTTGAAATTTTACCTATAAGAAAGGTACACAAGATGAATTGCTGTTGACTAAACTATCTTTTTTTCTACAAAGCAATGCTGTAATATGGGAATTTACTTTTAGCTGACTATATAGATCCACAATATTGACTCTGCCACTCTTGATGTCCCAAAGTTGAAGCTGCTGCCTATCCTATCGACAAAGATTTTGCTTTTTAAAAATCTTCTAAGATGACTTGGAAATTCCTCTCAGTATCAGGGATTTTTCAACAGGGATGTTTTGAATAATTTTATCAAATTTAAGCATCTAATTCTAGAAATTTTGTAGTTTAAAACCCCAGAATTTCTAAAAATATTATCTCCTGCTGTACCTGCAGTGTTACATGACTCTCAGCTTATTAGTAGTGACTGAGATAAAGGAAAAAAAATACAAAGCTAGTCATGTAGAGATTTTACAAATTCAGTTGTCACTGAGAAAATGGTACACAATACTATGAGGAGTGCCGCAGATAGCATTTAATCACCCTAAAGTGAAGATGAGGATAAAGACATCTTCTCCATAGACATTAGCAGACCAAGCTGCCATGACACTTCTAGACCTTTGGAGACCTCCTAACATGGTAACAATGAGACGAGCAGAATTTCAGAATGCAGTCACAAAGAGCTTTCCAAACATTCACAGTATCATTCCCAGGGAAATTTTGTAAAAGGACAAAACAAAGATCTATAGACTATGAACACAAATGAAAACCATATTTTCGAAAACAAACAAACAAAAAAATTACTTAATTTTAACCTATGTATGAGAGTATTGCTTTCACTAATATATGCACATATAATTTCACTACAGTATTTTTTGATGCTATATGTTGATTCCTACAATGACGTATACATCAGCTTTGGGATATTATTTCCTAAAACATTCCACATGCTGAATGGTCTTTACACCACTTGCCTACCCTTTCACAAACTGTTAAGTGATCCTTGAAGTATTGTTTTTCTTAATCATCATTGCATCTGTGAGGAAGCCATTTACCTAAAACTAATCCAAGATTTCATGGCACTTGAGTGACCATCTTTAAAAGAAAGACAAAAAGAGGTCTTCACTTCACTGCCTCCGAGTAGAATTGCAGCAGCTTTTATCAGACACAGAATGCCAACACAGACAGGAAGTAATTTAGCATTATGTCATAAGCCTAAAATTTTCTGTGTTCTCTTTTTTGAACTGCCTACTGATGAATCAAAGCATACGTTACAGCTTGAACTTTGGGGGTTTCTTTTTCTCCTTTTTTTTTCCTGTGCAGCTATTATTTGAATCATATTATGGTGCTTGGAATTTCGTTTTCATCATTACCTCTCTTACTATTTCTAATCTTCCAGGAACACATTTAGCTATGGCAGGTGACTCACTCCAAAAAGGCATTTGTGAAAATAAGAACAACTCTACATATAACAAAAAAGACTAAGTGCATAAACTGCTATAAAACCAGCCTCATTTTGCCTATTCCATTTAATCTCTCATCAGCCTCTGAGACAAATGTAGTGTCCCAAGGTTGTATAACTATGAAGCAAACCAGAATATAATCAAATTAGGTTAGGCTGAACCCTAGTAAGAGATCACACTCAACTAAAATTTATCTACTACAACCACTGACCTGCTCCTCCAAGAACTTGTGATATAAGTGAGCATAAAAACTACGAAGTCACCAAGGATGTTCACCATTCTCACTATCAACTGCTGAACAAGCTTGGTAGTTTTTGAAAATTATTGATGCAGGTGTTTGGCAAAATAATTCAACATTATTTTGAGGATAAGCACAACCTTCCTGTAGTATCAGACAACTGGCTTCAGTTGAAATTCCAAGATTACTCTTTTGAAGAGAAAAATGCTGACATTTTCTGCTTTTCTTTCATTCAGAGTTGTCTTTCATAGCAACAAAAACCCCAATGAGGGCAGAGGCAGTTTTCTCCCCTATTCTGGACATTCAATTAGTAGCAAAAGATAAGTTTTACAAAAAGGAAGGAAAGCTGTGGACAGGCTTTAGAAAATTCTGTTTCACTGGCAAGGAATTTCTTCTCTCAACCTACCTTCTCTTGATTCTGGCAGAGTGGACAATCACATTCAAAGCAATACTGGCGCATCAGCTGCTTTTGGCGTTCCCTGGTAGGCATCAGTGATTCAACGTAGCTTATGGTGAGCTGTATGCAGTACATTAAAAAAAAAAGAGTTTGTGTATTTTGCAAAAAATCAATTTTCTGTGTATGTATTAGCAGAGGCAACATTTTTTTGGATACAACATTTTTCCCAGCATAAAATAAAATGCTAACAGATTATTTTCTAGAAGAAATTGACTACTTTTACAGAAGGTGAAAAAAAGAGAAAAATAATTTCCATGGAAGAACACTTTTTCACATTTCAGGATCAATATTGTTTGAAATTATTAATTCCACCCAAAAATATCACTATTTCAACTTTTAATCCTAATTTGGATGAAAAATAAAAGAAGAAAGGAGAGTAAGAAAAGATAGCAAAGAAACTATGCATAAAGTATCTGAATTCCTTGTGCATGAAATCTCACTTTCTGTCTAGCTCCAGAGCTTAAGTGTGTATTTACCACTACCATTATACAATATCCAATTATCTCTTTTATTATCTATTTCTGAGGGAGGACCCTACTTTCTCGCAAATATATGTTTGAGCCTGAGGATAATTTCTCTTATGCCATACCCATTTTCAGTATGTCTGTGATGTTTGCCTTGTGACCAAGGAAGCACAAAAGCATTGCAGTCTAAGTTGTTGAAACTATTGACAAGAAGATTTATTAAAATGATAAAAAAAAATTTGTGCCTACATTTGTGCCATTTCCAACTTCTTACACTATACTGAGTGAATTCCAACGAACTGGAGAGAAATCTGTAGTTTGTTCACTTTGATGCCTGCCAGAAAGAATTTTACAGGACTAACCATTTGTAGAGTTCTTGAAATGTTTAAATTTCTTCACAGGCACAAACTAATGATAAGGAAAAGGATATAACAAAAAAACAGCTCAGTTCAGACCAGCATACAATCACATGCTATTCAGTGATTAGACTAGATGCTCAACACACTTTGAAACACTCCAGAGGGGTCAGAGCTGAAAAAAAAATCAGATCACATTATTTCATCCTGAGCCTAGACACTTCAGCTAATTGGGAGAATTTTCATACGGTTTTCAGTTAAATCATGAGAGTCCATTCAAAGAAATTACAGGAAAACCTGACCAATTTTAGTAATGACCATGAAATCCATTGTAAGAACCTGCATTTTTGCAAATTAGTGAGCATTCTAATTGAATGAGCAATTAACAAGCAACTAAAACAATGCCTGCATTCTTTTTCATTTATTATTACAGTGTAATTTGATTACATATTGAAGGAGGATCGTGTTAAAAGAAGTCTCCTGAGATGGCAAAGTCAAGCATTTAAATAAATACAGCTTCATAATTGAAGATTAATAGTATAATTAATGAAAGAGACAAATTAAAATTCCACAATTAATCAAAAGTTAGAAAATGTGAGAGCTTTGTTAGGTTTAGAATTCTATATAATGTTGTTGTGTCCCAGCTTGTGCATGTCTGAGCCTAGAGAGGATTAGTTTCACCACCACTGGCTTATAGCAGAACTGTCTGTACTAATATTTTACACGGGAGCCAGAGGCTTCCCTCTGATCTTTCTGCGGTGAATGGATAGAAATCGTGTTACTTATTTCTTTTCCACCCTTTTCTTTCAAGCTTTGTTTCTCCTGCTCCATTATCTCCAATGTCCCTCTTTCTCTTCTTTTCTCTACCTCTCAACATGAGTATCATTTTCCTGTCTTATTCTCAACACCTTATTATCTAAACCTGTTTTCTAGCCATAAATTCTAGTCCTTGCATAGCCACTTTTGGTGCAATGAGATGATTTCATCTCTGTGCCAGTTTCAGATCTGTCCTGTAGCCTTATCTTACACCTTTCCCCGTTGTATTCACTTGATTTCCCAAGTTAGCAGTCCTTGTTGCCCTACTTTGACTTCTCAAACATCTTCAGTGACCCCAACAACTTTGTCCTCACTTCTTTCCACAGCTGGTCCTAATCTGCATCCCCGTTGGTGTGGTAAGAAATATCTGTCTCCCTTCCTTCCCACAAAGCATTTTCCATCCAAGCTGCAGTCCTAACCTCATCCTTCAGACATTCAAAACCAAATTTCCTTCTCCCATCAAAAGCTTTCCAATCTTCATGTCTCCTTGCAACTCACAAGTGTTTTCTGTCAAAATCATTTCACACACTGGCTGTTCTCTCTCTCTCTTGTCCTCTGCATGAACATCTCTGATTTTTACTTATGTCCTACTGGGCTTTAGGTTCAGGTGGCATCCAGCAGTAAAAGAGATTTAACCAAGTTCAGACACAGTGCAGAACAGTAGGAATCTTCTGGGAAAAATCAATTATGTGAGATTAGTCTATTCTTTGCCAAAATATTTAAGACAATGGTCTAAACCCTGTCATTACTATTGAAACCATCATTAGGCAAGGTTTAGTTATAATATTGCAAAATAAACACAGAGCCAACACCAAATATATCTTACCTATCCAGCCTACAGACTTCATCCCTTTCTCTCTTCATATTTTTGGTTCTCCCCCCACCTTTTTTCATTTATGTTGCAGAAACCACGGCAGTAGGAAGAAGTTTCAAAAAAGACATTTCTTTTTCAGAGGTTACCAAACAGTTGTGAGTATAAACAGTCACATAACAACATGCTCTGGATTAAAACATATGACTGGACAGAAAGAGAAGAAGATTCTTCATCACATTTATCTCTTCTTTTAGCATTTTAACAACTTATGTTCTTTCTTGCCCAAGTTGAAATTCCCAGTCTTGCCAGCAGAAATCCATAAGGGAAAAAATGTTTGCAGCTGGCAGACTGAGTGGTAAAATATAACTAGAATATTTAGAAACATGATCAACCTAACAGTGACTGAGTCTATACTAATAATTTAATTGTTTAAAACCAAAATTTCTGTATTCAAGTCTCTCATCTTTAATCCTTGCTTTAATTTTGGATCACTTCATTAGATGCAAGGCTCATTTAACTTGTACATATTTAGGAAATATGCCCATTTATCAAAGGTTGTCGCAATGGTATTTGCATGTGGGATGTATACTACTAAGTAAAACATTACTTCAACTGACCAAAGCTTGCCTCTTTATTGCCTCATTTATAAAGAATGCAATGAATATTTTCCCCCCAAACTGGACAATGTATATTAAAAACATTTATGAAGGCAAGAAATTATTTAACAGCCATGGGACTTATTGACTCTTAAGACTTTCTCCTTAGAAACCAGCATTGTCTGAGCATTGCTTCTTGCTCTGACACAGAAATTCTTTAATCATGTATATGTTGGTTGGTTTCTCATGTTCCTCGTCTGCCAGCTGAGGTAGACACAATTTTCCAGTACTGCCACGATGCAGTGGGCTTAATTTATGTGGGGTTTTATTGTTGTTGCTGGTTTTTGTTTTTGTTTTTGTTTGTTTTTTTTTCTTTTGTTGTTGTTGGGTTTTTTTGTTTGGTTTGGGGTTTTTTTTGTAACAGAATATAAGCCACAACATTTCTAGACAGAAAATTCTGTGAAAAATTAAAATCAAGTATTTCAGTGCTAGTGGCAGGGAAAAAAACCAAAGGTAATATTCTTGGTTTTGCAATCATGGGGCTCAGACTCTTAAGGACGGTTGTGTATCTGTTCCTGAGACAGAGTTATAGAAGTGCTTAACAGTCTGCACTCTTTCTGTTTTGGCATATAAGATCAAAATGCCTTCTGCAGCGACACAAAACCATCACACTTTCTAATTCAAGGAAAAAATTGTTTCCAAAAACTTAAATTGGACAAAATATAATGTGTCAAGCATACACAGATACAAAACTTCTCACAGAATTACAGTAACAAAAACATTATATAACTTGGTTGAAATATATCATGAAAGTGGATTTATTTGCTCATCATCTGAAATCATTATTAATTTTCAGTATTAAAAAAAAATGTTGCTCTGTAAGGTACAGTCAGTTATATGATATTCTGAAGAAAGATACAAATTTGCTCTAATTGAACTCTGAAGCTGGTGAGAATCAAAGCACCCGTTTTGGAGCAGAACTGCACCTCAGCTAATCCATTCTGTCTCACAGCAAGACTAATTGATTTGAAGCCATAAAACTTCTGGTTGGAGAGGAGGGTAAATGATCTTATGTCTGCCTGCAAAACACCAGGTAGACTCAACAACTAACAAAAAATAAATTGAAATTATAGCACACATCTTGATCTGTTTGAAGTGGTTACTTAAGGGTAGGGAAATGAGGAAGACCTCTTAAAAGTAAACTGCTTGCCTTTTTGACAAAACTTGCTGATAGGCTATTTTACCAGTAAAGGAGCCCTCATGATCTCCAGATGAATAATTTTTGCTTTTTTATAATCCTTCCCCATTTCTCACCTTTCTTTGCAGCATTTAATTTTCATTTTTGCGAAGAGCTGCAAGTAAAGGAAATCTTTGTTTGCTATCAAATAAACATAATCTAAAGTTACAAAAACTGTAATAGTCAACATTACAGAGAAGTTTTGGAGGCTCCATCCCTAGTAGAGTTCAAGGCTGGGTTGGATGGAGCTCTGAGCAACCTGGTGTAGTGAAAGGTGTCTCTGCCCACAGCAAGGACAAGATGATCTTGGAGGTCCTTTCCAACTCTAAACATTCTGTAATTCTGCAATTATCTTGAAGTCCAAAAAGGTGTTATAATTAGTTCTGAGGTGCTGGAAGCAAAGTTCAGAATTGCTGAACTATGTCTCTGTTTTCCCTGCAATTATAGGTGGTCAACAACTCCTTAGCATGGATGAACTGCTGCAGTGTGCTCTGACAGAAAGCACTACAAATGTGCAAAAATATATTCCTTTATGGATGGAATAGTCCTCTTCTACTAATCTGAACTTGACTTGCTACTTAGCTTCTTATTTCTGATAAGTCTTAGTGCTTAATTTCTATTAATTTTTTAATAAAGGATCTCATTCTGTCTGCGTCTAGTGTAAGTTTGAACAGGATAAGAGAAAATTTCTAGTGATTATAATTTTCTTGTTGCTTCATGACTTGAAATAATCTTCATCTTACCATCTCAGAGCACCCAGTTTATCCAGAAAACCCAATCACTTTCCTCCCTAACATGTATCTTCATTAGCTCAGATCATGATATCAGGAATATAAGTTAAAACTCAGCGCACAACAGATGATACAGTTTCACATACATATGTTTGTAAATTCAGTACATGGCTATTACTAAAACTGAGCTCACCACGTTGCAAGCAAGCAGAAAGGCAGTGTGGAAAGTTGTACCAAAGTCATTATACAGAACACAAAATGAAAAGTGGTACAAGTTGTGTATAAGGAAGAGTAAATAGGTACTGACAATGATATTGAACTGCTGACTTGTACATACCTTCACAAAAATTTTATTTCTTTTCCTCTTCCCATAACAGATCTAAGCTAATACCGACTTTGTAGCTTTAAGCCTTAGGCCTATTTTCTTCCTGGTAATACAGTAAAATCTGCTGTATTTTTAAATAAGCAACTGAACTGGGAAGCCAAGAAAAAAGTTATGGTTTATGGATAAAATAGAAGGAAAGTGTCTATAATAACACTTAAACAAGAATACTGAAATGAAAATGCCTATAATTAAGAGCTCCACAAACATATTTTTCTCCTGAAAGAGTTCTCTTGCCAAAAAGGTAAGTATGCAAAAACGTTTCTGTTGATTCTTAACAATGTTTCACCGAAAAAAATATTCTACCACTTACTTATTTTGATGGCCTAAAAAATTTTTCATCCATTTACTTACTTTGATACCCTACTATCTTTGAGAAAGAATACAGTAAAAAAGAAGAAACTTCATAGGGAGGTAAATAAATACTGTGTCTAAATCAAAATAAGCATGGTCTTCATATTCACACAGTTTTAAGAAGAGGCGTGAATCATATTTACATTAGGTTATGATTTTGAAACAACCAACAGTTAGGACTGTGTAGGCCACTGATGCATCTGAAATTACATATATGCACACATCTCTTTTCAGGTCTTATTAAGCAATATCAGTACTGCATTACTGCAAAACTTCTTTTTTTTTTTTTTTGATTTCCTGCCCCAGATGCTTATTTTCAAATGAATACAAGTGCTGTTGTAAAAATAAAGTGGAGAACACATCAGACCAAATCATAAATCTCTTGAAAAGGATATTTTGAAGACTTTCTTAGTGAAATGGACAAGAAAACAAACCTTGTTTTGCTGCTTTCACTGTCAATGAAAGGTTTACTACAACTGCACAGTTGCTGCCTGATAAATGTTATTGTTGCAATGACTTAGGGAACACTGCATTCCACTCAGAAATATTTTAAGCGTTCCCATCAGGATAAAGACACTCAAATACAAACAAAGTGAAGTGCCTAAAGGAGCAAAGGAGAAACAGGAATTTATCAAGACTGCTAGTGATTTATGAGAAGTAATGATTACGGGGCCCAGGCAGTGTGAAGAGATGATTCTATTTATCATTTTCCCCCCCGATAGCTATGTGCTAGAAAGTGGCATCAATATATCATCAAAACACTAAACTGGTGGCCCAGCAGTCTGGAATTTATTTAGGGAGATGTCATTGTTGCAGGTGTCTGTGATGGAAGGGAGGACAAGTTAATTACCTCTTCACCAATCTGGATGTCTCGGACAGAGTGAAGTAAAAGCTGGTATCCTTCAAAAACAATCACACAGTTTGGGTCACAGCTGTGGTTCAGTAAAGACATGCTGTGAGGGGTGCAAGGAAGAAAAAAAAAAACTTAACAGAGGAGTCTCAACTGCCGTTTCCCTTTAATCATTTGAAATCAGCTAACATGATTACATCTGAAGTATCAAGCAATTAAGTCATGAAACAAATAAATTCCCTGTTAAATCAGCTGCTCTTGGTTAGGGGAGGAAAATGAATGCTTAGAAGATTTATATTCACTGGTAATAGGAGCCAGGATCTCTTCAAATGTTTCTGCCTTTTGTGTACTCGGGGCAGGAAGAAGGCAATGGCCTCCCATTGCCTCTTTGAGAGCCCTGATTCAGGGCACTGGGCAAGTGGGGAACAAGCTAACCTTGTTGTCTTGACAGTTCAGAGCAGAGGGGGCTGAGCTGTATTTCTGCTGCTTCTGCTCAGTTTCAGGGCACAAACTTTTTCAATTGCCTGACTGTCATTGCAAGCACAGCTCAAAGGGGCCAACAATCAACATGTATTTCTTATCAGGAGAAAATAAGAGTATACTATGTCCCAAAGCCAAAGAAGTTGGGGTATAGAGTTGAAAGAAGAAACAGGGCCATTGCCTCTGTTTTCATGCATATTTTGGCCCAGCCTTTTTTCTTGTGGCATGTGACAGCTGGGGCAGCACAGCTCATTAGGGAATTGCTGGCACCCTCAAGAGACACAAACGCTGCACAAGCACTCCCTTCCCTCTCTCTGAAGGAGGCTATATATACTATACATGTATATATACTATACATACTTCAGAATCACGAGTTTCCTTAGCTGAGAAACAACTGACTGCCAGGCAAACATTTCTGCTGTAGCAGAAATGGGATCGATGGTTCTTTCCCTATGGGAATGACCCACTGAAAGAATAATTTTGGCCTTATCAGCCTGGAAGAAGAATTTTTGGTTTATCGATCTCCTGGCTGCATTTATATTCTGTCCTTGTCTGATTCAGCAGTTGAAAATCCCAACTGTTGTTGGTAAAATAGAGGATGTTGCCAAGGCTCTGAGCCCTGCACCAAACCATGTTTATTTAGTTTTTTGACTCTTACAGGAGGTATCAACAGGGGTCTGACTCTTTTGGTATCCCTTCTGGCCTAATAAAATATCTGTGGTTAATCTCCTCAAGAACCCACTGGGAGAGTATCCATTACACTTATTGTGAGATCACTGGGCACACTCTCAAAGCTGCTCACAATGTGATGGACCACAACAGGACCATAGGATTTTACCTACTTTAAAATATATTGTGATGCTGAAGCTATCAAGCCATACAATAATATACAACCTCTTTACAAGGCTTAATAAAGAACTTTTAATTAAATCTCATGTCATGGAGAAACTAGTGGATTTGCTGACAATTTCCTCTAGAAGCGTGTGAATTCATCTGGAAGGACATTTGCCCAGGATTTGTAAACCACAGATTTTAAGTTATCAATTTTCCCAGCTGTGTTGCTATAACAAAACTCAAACTGCTCTGAAGTGACCTTCAAGGGAAAGAGTCTCTGGCATCCCTTGGCAGTGCATTATCATTGAACATAGGCAGATACTTTCTTCACAATAGGGCTTTTTTACAACCAAAACCAAACATTTCCCTAATAATAATAATGTTCAAAAATAATATTTCATTTTTCTCAATTATTGTTTTCATTCCATTATGAAATCAAATTACTGTTTTGCATTTTTCATGACGCTAATTCCCATGTCTTCCTAACTACTTTCTCCTCATCTTTACTACAAAGCAGACCCAAGATATTAAGTGTCCTTAGTTAAATCTTACATATGACACTAGAAGGAAAAAACCCAGCAATGACAGGCCCATTGAGATACTGACAAACATAATTCAACCATACATTAACAAAAAAATTGGACAGTAAAACATACTTTTAAACTACATGCTAATTTTCCATATTTATGATTACAGGTTACTAATTCTGTGAAGATAAAGCCTTCATTGGTACATACTTCTTTCCTAATACAAATAAGAAAAAAAAAAAATGAAATTCAAATATTAACTCTATCTCTTAAGGGACCTATCTTTTCACCTTACTGGTTTCTTTTTTATGGTAATTTACTTATAAATATATCAATCTTTTTCTTTTAATTACTAATTATGAAGGCTCTGAGCTGCAAAATATCTGTATTCTAAAGCATCATTGAACAGGTTTCCCTTACTAGTCCCAGTCACACAGTGTTGATGATAGCATTTATTCATACTTAGAAACGACTACCACCACCATAAAAATAAAATATAAAGACGTATATACTATTTAAACTGCTTTAATGCTGTAATCAGGAATATTAAGAATGCTTTCAACTATATTGTATTTCTTTATTCTTCTTTAATTTATTTCCATTTCCCAGTTTCTCATTTAGACATGTTACCTGCTGCTTTGATGGTCCTTACAGCTACCTCAGAAAAAAGGAGAAAGAACCAACACAGATTTTGCCTGTGAATGAAACAGTGTCCACAGTACCTGGGATACAGGCCAACACCAACATCCTGCATCTCTCCATTACTGATGGTGAAACAGTTACAGGTCACCTGTAAAAACAAGGGAAAAAAAATCCAGGATTACCAGAATCATTTGGAAACCCCATACTCAAGTGAAAAAACCCTTCCAAAATAAAACGAAGGGGCAAATGGTAATTAGATGGGAAACATTCAAGCCCAACACTAGTGCTCTTTCATTTTAGATCAATCACATCTGGGACACACTCTCCTGTAAAACTGCTGTCAATTAAAAGCAGAAATATAAGTATCCTGAAAAAATGTGGGGTTAAACACATGCAGGGGCCCTACTTTCCTGTAGGGAGAAGGACAAAAGTCACCCTACAGCCTGAGAAGCTCAGCCCAGGAACAACCTAGCAGATGATAGTGACTATTGATGGAAAGAGTGGCTGTTTTCCATGTGGGGACTCTCCTGATGCCAGTCTCTTACAGCACATTTTAGTGAGTAGCAGTAGAACCCGAAGAATATATATGGGACTGTTTTGAAGTAAACAGCAACCTCAGTTGTGGCAACCTGATATGGGCACAAATAAATGCAAAGACTGTGCAATAATTTATCTTTCACATTATGGGTATTTTGGTTTGCAGGTAGAAGATCTGACAACAAAGCATGTTCAAATTGCCATCCAGGAGAAATACCTTTTCTTTAATTTCAAATATTCAGATTGTAAATGTGTTCTTCCTTCATACAATCATACCAAATTAAAGTGGTTTTAGAAAAGAATTGGGAAAAATGGAAGTTCCTGTAAACAGATTTAGTCCTACCCCAAACTATCAAACTGAGCCTTCTTGGTGTTCAAGGTGTATCAACGTTTGTAAATGATTAACAAGTACAACCTTCATGTGCTTAAATGAAAAAATGGAATTCCATTGTGAATGTATTTTTTAGGTATTTGATTTTTTGGGGAAGATCTGGTTTTGGTGGTTTTTTTTTTCATTTTTTAGATATGTTGATCAGCTATCATCAATGCATTAATATCTTCTTTAGAAAAATACTGCATGATACTGCATATACAAGAAAGTCCCAGGTCTTTTCTGCATAGCATTGGATTATTAATATCATTAATTCTCATTACAACAGAAAATGAGTTAAGAGTAGGGTTTGGCAGACATGGAAATGAGATTTGAAAGTTGTATTCACAGAGTAATTGTCCAGAACAGAAAATGCACACCTATATTTTAAAGAGGTATGCTGAACAATTTAATAATATAACTTATCCTATAAATTGACAGATTATTATTTATGAGGCCATTAACTATAAGGTGAAAATGAAATACTCTTTCAAAATTTCTCATAAATTATGACAGCAACATTAATTTAAATAAATGCACATGCAGCAGGGCATGTGTTTTTGTAAACCGTTAAACAGTACTTTGATTGGTCTATTATTTACGTAACCCATTCAAATGTTCCCTATCAATTACCAAAATCATACATCTTAGTTATTTCTTTCCTGTTGACATTGGGTATAAAGTCTCAAACAACTTCTGAGCAAAGATTAGTCCATTTCAAGTAGCAATTATCCTGGTTCTAAAAATATTGACTTGATTTTGGTATTTACTAAAAAAATAATGCCTTCCAGGTAAAATAGAAAGAAAGCTTTTGTGTGCCTTAGCTCTCTCTAACAGATCATAAAGTAGCAGAGGTCAAGCATCTCTTGGAAACAAATGAACTCCTCTTTTTTGCAAATCTCTTATTATTCTCATATTTATATTAATAATATTGAATTTTGATCACAATAGAGTTATAGGGACTGTTTAATCATTTTCTATTAATGTATTATATTAAGTGAAAAGTTTTACACACAGAAGTCACAATAGTTTTACTTCTTCCTTTTTGAAACATGCATCAGTTTTTTATACCAGGATACATTTAAGTAAAAATTTGAGATGAATGAATATGCTGAGATTCAGACATGAAGAGCTATTTTTAATGGCAGTTCACTGTGAAGCACTTTTTAACATCTCAGATATTTCTACAGTATACAGGTGCATCTCAATATCCAGTGAGGCAGTGAAATGCCATCTAGTTTCTAATTATTTCCAGTTTCAAATATAATATTGGGAATCCAAAGTATACAGGGTGAAATCTAAAAAGGTATTTAATACACAAACACAGGCAGAAATCCAACTGGTCCCATGAGTTCTGAGCTGTATGATTTAGTGCACAATCCTGCCAGAGGCATAGGAAGTGTCAGGTGATCTGAGGTTTGTTTAACCCCTGAGAAGACAATCTTTTCCTCCTTTTAAGTTCAGGAATGGAAAAAAACCAACAGTGATACACAAATAATGTGTACTGCAGATAATAACCCTAGTCATGGCTGCTTTCTGTGCTCAGCAAGTGGAGAGAGAGAAACTGAGATCGGGGTTCAGAGAGGAGGAAGATTTCACCATTTACAGTGTGAGGAATTCTGATGTAATAACAATCCTCCATAGAGAGCAAGCAGCCTAAAATAATATAAAATATGAAATATTGATAGTTTTTTACTATATGGTTGGTTTTTTGTTCTCTTTGAGATTTGCTACAAAGTTTCTAAAAGTCTATGAATCACCTATACATTTCTATTTACATAAATGTCTGGGGTTTTTTAAGTCTGAGTTAAAGATCTCTTTTATCAAGTAGACTTTATAAGATTTCAAAACAAGAGTTGGTGTTGTAAATCCCAACAACTAAGGAACAAAATTAAGATGGCGTTTCTTTTAGAGAACACCCAAGAAAAGTCAGTTTTTCTAGCATCCAAAAATTCAAAGATGTAGCTCAAATAACAGCCAAATCTGGAGTATCCAACATTTTTGCAGGAGAGTATGAGTAAGCTGCTTACTCCTGAGGCAATTGTTTACAGATCAAAACCTACTAGGACTGGAAATTAACTAATTGTTTCTAGGGGAAAAAACCCCAAACACATAAAAACAAGGCAAAATAAACATTTTCTCAGGCATGACAGCATTTCTTTCAAGTTTCATGGTTATTTTTTGCTTTTTTCTGCCTTAACTGACCCACCTTATTCCTTATACTACAACCAGGCTCTACGTGATGACAGATTTAAAAATAAGAAAAATAAACAATTCTCAGCAACTGAATGCTTCAATAACAGCGTTCTTCCATACAATGGTATGCTCCTTATTGTCTCAACTCCTGCAGAATCATTTATCTCAGTAATTTAATTTGTGCTTGTCCCTTCTGAATCCTTTAAAAATTCCTCTCTATCCAGCTACAAAGCACTGAGACAGCATATCCACATCTAGAAACAAAACCAAGTACTCACAAAGTTTGTTATACCCACAAATAAAGAACATTGCCACATATTTCAGCACTTCAAAGTGCAAAGACAAATTCCTTGTTATTTCTAAAATTTCTGAAAAAAATACATCTCCCAGCATGAGAACCAAGTGAAAATTCTGAGGGAGGAGTCACAAACTTTTCAAGTCTTCAAAATGCAAAACTTCTAAATATTCTAGAGTGATCAAGGTTAATCATCATAGCCTGTTTGGCCACAGAGCTCTAGTCTATAAACTTAACAGTTTACAAATCACTTCTGAGTGTTTGAGTTGCCTCTATGAATAAATCCTGCAAGGTTATTAAAAAGTAGCTCCTATTTGAAACAACCAACGTTGTTCTATAAACTGAATTAAATAAAAAGATTTGTTCTTTTGAGGCTATACATATTTTAGAGAAGTACACTGTACCCCATAAGGTAACGTAAGTAGAAGACATACTCTCTCCTAGACTGGTAAACACACAATGAGTAAACCAACTCTACTGACTGGCCAATAGTCTCAGGCATACCTCATCACCAAACAAAAAATATTGCAACCTGCTAAATTTGATTTCCTCTCTGAGTGACTAATGAAAACTCTGTAAATTTACCCTGTAAAGAGGTCACTGTTCTTAAGATGTCTAAAGCTACTGTCTGAGATATCTCTGTCAGTGCCAGACTCACAGTCTAGTGGACAGTCATGATTTATTTTGGTGTTTGCACCTGACAGAGTCCAGAGGCTTCAGTTTTGCAACACAACAAGTTGAATTTGCTTTCAGTTCAGACCTCATTCCTACAGCTTTATACTGAAGATTTGCCTTTGGGTTAAATAAAACAGAGTAAGACTTGACGGCACGACATTCCAGATTTGGAATTTCAGACATTCAGACAATGAAACACATCAATAAGGGTGTAAGGGAAAGAAAACAAATCATTATTGGCTAACACTTGCTGCACCGATCAAATTACAAACACCAGGGCTAATAATCAATCATTTTGTCTCCATGTGTTCCTCTTACTGCAACACAGTGAGGCAGCTCTCATAACACATGTAAGGAAACCTCCCAAGTACTCCAAAGGGTGTATTGCACTGATAGGGTCAATACAATTTTCAGCTCTGATATACAATGACTCCAGCCATCTCTGTAAGTGGTGTGTTACAGCTGGTGTACTCTAAACCACCACCAGGAAGAAAGCAATAAGGAACACTTTCCCCCCCTAATTTATTAACCCAATGTATTGTAAATTAAAATTAGATATTAAAAAGAGCCTTTTCATGGATTATTAAGTTTCTCATTCATACCGAAGCTGCCTGGGTATCACTGGTCACAGCCAACTATTTAGCAAAAGATACTGCAATGAGTTCTCATGTTAATAGACTTCTCAAGAGACTCAAATATTTTTCCAGGAGGAAGGGGTGAGCAGTAAATGCTATGTGAGGGGCACATTACCTCAAATGACCAAAGCACACCCCAGTGACTTTCTAGAACCATCACATCCCACTACATTTCTGCACTGATAACTCTTTCCCACTCGAGGATGAACAGATGGTTGATAGATCTCAAATCTGCTAATGACTTCATTTGGCACACAGAGCACTAGTGCAACAGTGCTAAACTGTAATGCACAGTATGCCACAGCAGTGACAGGCCTGTCAAGCCCCTGTTTTATGTGTACAACACTCAACTGCTTGTGCCTAGAGTCCAGGACATCCTGGCTTTATCCTCAGACAGAGCTTCTCGCTCTGAAATGGCAGCTCTGTCCATGGTGTGTGGG